GAAATAATAATTTAAAAGTAAATAAATATATTTTTTGTTAGTAAACGTATTCGAATAAATAACTAATTTGTCATATCAACTACGCATGTCGCGACGCAGAGTTCAATTCCCTATAGAAGCAATCTGTTTTTTCTTTTGGAAAAATATTAAAATTAAAAACATACGATTATTGTTGTTTCGCTTTTTTTTTCCTGGGCTCGTCTGACTATGTTTCTCCGAATAACACTTAACCCTATTGGCTTATTGTGTTTTACCTTATGTTATTTCATAGTACCCACTCTATCACCTTTGTACCTTGTACAAGTTTGTACAGATCCTTGGGTGAGTGGGTTCTATACGTTGTTGGATCAACCTGGGTTTGTCCAAAAAGAGCCTGTCTTTTGCGATCTAGAGCTTCGCATTCGCACGGTATGTGTTTGGCCGTTTCTGGTTTCTTGTGACATAGTCGGCACATGAGTTCTCCATTGTACATGCCAATTTTGTTCAAGTGTCCCTTTATTGGGGCGTGCCCAGTCATGAACCCTGTTATCACTTTCAACTGGTTCCTACTCATTAAGAGTAGTTCTCCAGTTCTTTTGGGACATGGTCTGCCTATGAAGGCTTTTCCATGTGCCTGTTTTGGGGTGCTTCCCCAATAGTTGATATGTTGTTCCCGAATCCAGTCATTCATAAAACCCCGGACTTTACTTTTTGGTACTCCTGGGTTTGTGTCTGGTTCCGGTGTTTCTTCTGACCCTTTTCTTGCAAGTTCGTCAGCCTTTTCGTTGCCTTCGATTCCTTTGTGACCTGGCACCCAAAATAGTTTTACTCTACTTCGGTCTGCCAGTGTTCTTAGTTCTTCGATGCATTCCCATACCAGCCTCGACGTAAGTTTCTGACTCGATATGGCCTTAAGTGCCGCTTGGCTGTCTGACATTATTTGAATATGCTGATTTTCGACAGCTCTTTCATTGTTTGTTTTTGCACATTGCAAAATTGCGTATACCTCGGTCTGAAATACCGAGGAATGTAGTCTTATAGCATAGGTATGGTTAGTATCAGTGTTTTGGAGAATACTCCTGCCCCAGTGCCTTCCGAAGTCTTAGACCCGTCTGTATACCAGGTTTGTTACTGTCGTTGGGTATTGGGCTCCCTTATGGTGATCTCCGCTCTTTCCTGTATTAAAACCTCAAAGGGAGTATTAAAAGAGTACCTCTTGGTTATGTGGTCTGATCTCATGTCTAGCACGTCTCCTGTCACTAACCTTGAGATACTCATGTGACCTGGCCTAATGTCAAGATTTCCCAGTGTATTCCCTAATCTGTAAGCACCTAATCTTGCCTCCCCTTGTATCACATAATGAAGAGATGGGAGTCCTATTGGTGCTTCCATTGCAGCAGTGGGGGTTGTTTCGCTTACCATCTACATTGAATGATCAATAACTTTTGTATTCGATACCTGCTTTCAAATGTCGACATTTAATTTCCTTTAAGGTCATTTAAAATTGCTAACTAGAAAATGAATAACATATCAAAATACAATTAGTGCATGATTTACCACCTATTAATGTAATTCTAATGTCGTTAATATTAACTTTTGTAATAATTAGGTTTGAAATTGAAATATAATATACAGTATAGCAAATTAATAAAACAAATGTGTGATTTGTGTTTTAATCATTGTGGTCGTAGAAAAAGTTCTACTCGAATAGAAAACCTATTCCACACTCATATGATTGAAGCACCAGTATTCGCTTTCTACACAATATACTATTTTCTACGGCTATAATACAAAATTAAATTTTCTCAACTATTATTGTTTAAGATTCCTCGATACCTTGTGTTGAAACACGCAGGTTGATCCATTAGCCCATGAGTACACACTCTGTCAAAGACTAGTGCCAAGTACTACAAGACACGAAAGTGGCAGACTAAGTGCTGGGAATCAATACGGGGGCAAAATACTATCGTGCGACCGACCTTGTGTTTTGTTGATCTTCACCGTCTGTGTTTCCACTTTCGCTGCCGTCTGCCTCGAGATTCGAGAAGTAACTGGAATTCTCTCTGTACGCAGTATGATGCGCGGAGGAAGGATTTCGCATGCTTCTAGACTGGCAACGAGCATTCTAGCCAGGATTAGATTTTTTCTAGGCTGATATATTTTTGTATGCAAGCCGTTTAAGTTAAGTTTAAAATAAATATTGTGAAATATAGTCAAATTGTTAAATAAATTAGAAGTGTGGAATATAAATAGTGCCTTAATATAAATTAATTAATTATTTCGTAGTGTAAATAAATTATAAATAAACTGTTTCAAATAAATAAACTATTTTTAAAATAAACAAACGTTAAAATATATTAAACCAATATGTTGCAGTGTTATTGGACACCAAGTTAGAAGAGCCCAGAACTGAAAAAAAAAACTTATATATAAAACACAAAATTTGTGTTAATCTTTGAATCTATCTTTTTTTTTTTTATTTTTTAAATAACAAAAAACGTTCAAATATTATATTTTATAATTTTAATATTTATATAAACACCATTTTAACTAACTTTATTTAACGAAAAATAAGATTGCCTTGCTTCAAAAAAAAAACAATAAATTCTACACTTGTATTTTTTGTTTATGGTTATGTTTATATACATTTTGAATCTTATCAAATAAAAATAATTTACTCTCCTGATCTAATCAATACAAACAAAATTCGATAAGGATATAAACATTTTTTATTAAATGTTATTTTCGAAATATATCGAACGTGTAGTTAAGTTGAAATCAGATATATCACGTAAACAAAATTGATAAATAGAGCGAGTATAAATAAAACTATTAAAATTAAAAAATGAGAAATCTTGTATTGGAACATATTAGGAAATACGTACACAATTTTTTGTACATCATGTGCTTTTTACTATTTTTTCTTTTGATCTATTTCTAACTAAATTTCTATGTCATACGGCTATTTAAAAAATTTAGATGAACTAAGAAGTAAAAAAAAAATAGAGTAAAAAGTGCAGCCATAATGAGCATACTGGGCATAAAATCAGTATTAATTTAATTACTTAATATAAATATATAAAAAAATCATACGAACGTTGATAGATGGGGATGAGATATAAATTGAAATTTTACATAAAATATTCGCAAAAAACACTTTTATTGTCTATAAAAATATTTGAGTTTAGGACCTACATATTTATTGTAAGGATACTATAAATTTGCTTCAATTTCATCAAGAAAATTGAGAAGTTTCTTGGGCCAACCTTAATCTCAGTATAAAAGTAATCGTTATTTATATTTTGTATATTGCAATTATTTACAAAGGCATATTAGTACTTACAATAAAGACTGATTTGTATACATAACTATAAATAAATCAATGACACAATAAGAGTCAAAATCTTTCAAAATTATAAAACTAAACATTTTAAGGTTTTTGAGCTAAAAAATCAATTGTTACAGGTTGTATCTACAAAGGATTATACAAGTATTAAAAGTAATTCTAAAAAAACGGACTTCAAAATCGTGCAGATGCCATCACCACATCTTAACCAAATTTATATGGGACTACCCCTGAGGTACATCCCTACTAACAAAAAAGAATTATAAAAATCGGACAAGGTGGTAAAGAATTATGGCTGAACATACATATAAAAAAAATGTACAGGGTGTCCCGAAATTAGACGGTCATATTTTAACAGCGTAATTTACATCCTAAAATAGAAGTAAAAGTTAAATAAATAAATAAATAAATAAATAAAAAAGTTCATATAAACATAGGCCCGAAACGTTTTTGTTTTCGAGATACAGGAGATACAAGTAAAGTCCTGATGACACATTTTTGTAAATATTTTCTTTTCTTTATTAACCGGTTTTCCAAAGTTAAAAAAAATAAAATTTCTGATTCCACAGGCCTGCTATTTATGGTTTATACTTTCAAATTTATGAATTTATGAAATTTTCAAATGCTTTTCATTTGAAAATGGTGCGTCTTAGCGAAATACGACAAAAGTAACTTTTTTACAAAGAAAATATTTATTTTCCAAATTCTATAGTCAAGAATGTTAAAAACAGCCAACAAAAAAACTTAGGACAATTTAACCCTAAGCCCCTCCTCTAATTTACCCACCTATAAATATGAACACAAACTGGTTTAGTCCATTAAATAGAGCATAAAAAGTTTAGCAATTGTACCAAATATCACTTAGGATAATTTTAGAAAATATTTACAAAAATATGTCATTAGGATTTCACTTTTAACACCATGTATCTCGGAAACAAAACGTTTTCGGACCTATGTTTATATAAACTTTTACTCCTATTTTATGATTTAGATTACGCTGTTAAAACATGACAGTCCAATTTCGGAACACCCTGTATATATACCGACGAATTGAGAACCTCCTCCTTTTTTGAAGTCGGTTAAAAAAGAAGTATGTTGTTGATTAATTAGCGGATAATAGTGGACATTCTGTTCTTAAACGACCGACTTATATTTTTGTATATTCGATAATTATGTATCTAACAAAGCCCGTGAAGCGCGTAATTCATCGTAAGAAGTTACAAAATAATTTAGAAAAACGTCGAAAGAAGGTTCTGTATAGCATTACCCTAATGTGAAATTATTGTAATGGTAATTTTAATGGGATGAAAATAGTCCGTTAGTCCTTTATTAGCTTAGCGATCAGACAGAGCAGCAAATTGCACGAATTTAAAGAATAAAAATCTAATAATAGTGATAAAATGATATTGACCCCGATAAAGTGCTTGTTGTTGGAATTTAAAATTGAATAGTTCTTTAATACTTATTATATTATTGTGAATTCTTTTTTTAATTATGTAATTCTTTAATTGATTTTTCTATTAAAGAATGTATCAAACAAATAAATAAACTACTTACGAAAAAAAAATATATTTTTTTTAATTTCATAGGATGGTTTTAATTAACATAAAATGCTGTACCTATATTTGTATAACAATTTTAAAAACTGATCAACAAAACATACAGAAAAACAAACCTTGAACTTAATTCAAATTACACAAATAAACAAAACTCGTGTGTAACCTTCGCGGACACTGTAACTGCACTGACGATGATATTATTTAAATTGTTTTATTAGAGCAAATCGAGATGAGATAATGATAGTCAACCTGTTTGTTAATTTATAATAAATCGTACTGAAATATCAAAAATTCACAAAAAGTTTTATGGCCAAATCTTTCTGCGATTTTATTTTAAGGGAACGTAATTACATTACAATATAACTTAAATGCAAAGTTCTTGAGAGGTTGTTGAAGAAAATCAAAACCTCGCACAACTTTTATTTTTGCTGCTTACCAATTTATTTAACTGTCCTGTTACGTTAACAAAACGAAATAATATAATTTGTTGTAAAATGTATCCACGACAAGTATTGTAAACATCACATTGTGTATTCAGAACGTAGCCATTCGTTTGTACCATAACATAACCTAAAAAAATTGTCACTTTTTCTTTTCGTTCTTTAACAGTCTAGATAATTTATAATTTATTTTGTAAGAATTATTTTATTTTCTATACAAATTTAATATTATTTTAAAAAACAGTCGGTTTTTAGACGTACGAAATATTTGCCTTTCAAAACCGTCACATTTATAAAGACTAGAGAGGAGGAAGCTAATCGACGAAGGTGCAATTTCAAATTTCCGTCCTTCTTTTTATAAAGTTCGCGATATTGACTGTAGTTTGCATGTCTAATGACAGCGCAGTCAATTTTCTATGTGATAAATAATAAAGTGATTTTTTAAAAAGTTAATGAAAAGAATCATAATAATGTGAAAAAAGTACCTGAGTATAAGTAACTTGAGTGACAAAAAACATCAAAGCAAGATTTACGTCGTTTCAGATTGTAAAACAGGATAAAAATCAAATCTAAAACTAAAGAAAACACAAGAAGAAATCAATTCAATGTCTTTTTAAAGCTTTTAATGTAAGTAAAATAATGTATTCATGTCTAAATATATTATTTATTGTAAACTAGTCACAATATGTATCTTACAAAGTGTAGTTTATTTTATTATAAGTTTCTATAACATAAAAATTTTACAGTTATAGATGCTGACTTAAAAACAACAATAATTATGCATTAAATTTAACTTATTAGAAAAGAAAATTTGTTTTTTATAGAGTTTTAATGTTAGGTAAAGAGTTGCTACTATTTTTTTTTTTTTTTTTTTTTTGACCCCAATTGTGTTATTGTAAATGTTTTGTATAGGATACTAAACGTTTAGAATAGTGGCAGCATATATATCGTTCCTAGTGCCGATAAAGCACTTTCTAGAAATGATGCTGTTCTATACTTTTTAGAAGATATTATCAAATATTATGAGATTATTTTTTCTGATGGTACTGTTTTAAAAGAAATTAAAGGATGAGGTAATAGTATGTACATTATCAAATCTCCCTTTATACTTCTATTACAACAATAAAAATTCTGTTAACTGTGTTTTATTTTACTCTTAAAACAATATATTGGATCAATCAGAGTTGGGTCGGATAGAGGAAAAAAGTATCCGAGTACTGGATACGGATACTTACAATGTATCCGGATACTTTTTAGGATACTTTCACCCAAAAAGTACTCGAATACAAGTATCCGGATACTTTCTTCGGATACTTTAAAGGATACTTTTACGGATACTTTTAAAGTGAGTTAAAATAATGTTATAATTATGCAATACAATAAACAGTACTAGGCATAAATAAATTATTGAAAATGGAAAGCGATATAATAGAAACAGGAAAAACTACTGAACATAAAACATTAAAACAAAATGAACAATAAAACAAAGGTGCGTGTAAATAAAACGAGTCGCGCCTGAACCGCGCCAAAAACCAGCCAGTGTCCATATAAATCTAAATAAATAAGCTCGATGTTGGCGCGACTTGCCATGTTTATACAACCTTTCGATATTCTCGTCAGTGTCAGATGTATTCGACAATCCTCCGACGAGCGATGTTTGGTAGAGTCGAGAGCGTCGAAAGAAGGAGGAGTGAGAAATTGCTGAATGTTTCGTTCCGGCATAGGCAAAGCAGGCTCGCATATTTGATTTTGTCATATCTGTATAATTTATTGATGTTGATGACGACATATACAGTGAGCATCATGTCTTACCCCCCTATCTAACTCGTTACTGGAGTCTTGTTAGGAAAATCGCCGAGACACGTCGATTTTTGATTTCTACTATGTACATTTTCATATGATTAGTTTACCCTTAGTTTCAATTCTTGCTGGAGGGGAGCAACCCTTTCGAAAAATTTAAATGGCATGGGGTGGTAAGTGATAGCTCATTTGAAAGGGGGTTTTATTCTCTATTCAACCGTGCAAAAAATTTTGAAATTTGCTTAATTAATTCTCGACTAATTATTGTTTTAGAATTAAGGAAATTAACGTAGCACACTCATCCTTAAAATTAAAATTCGGCCCTGCATGATATCGGTTTTGATTCAGACGTGAAGTAAGACTTTTTGTCATTAGATAAGGTTACTGTTAGTTAAGTTGCTTTCCCATTTGTTATTTTTAAACATTAATAAATCAACACGTAATGCAGCAAATTTTAAAATTTTTTGCACGGTTAAATAGAGAATAAAACCCCCTTTCAAATGAGCTATCACTCTCCACCCCATGCCATTTAAATTTTTCGAAAGGGTTGATCCCCTCCAGTAAGGGATAAAATTAAGGGTAAACTATTCATACAAAAATGTACATTGTAGAAATCAAAAATCGACGTGTCTCGGCGATTTTCCTAACAAGACTCCAGTAACGAGTTAGGGGGGTAAGACTTATGATGCTCACTGTATAACACATGATCAGTAACATTATGAGCAACAACACATACAATCATTCAGATATTACTATATCATTTTAATTTTAATATCTTTATTAAATGAAAGTAATACCCTGCTGATTTTAAACGATTTACACGAAATTCTATATTCTCTTTTTTTACATTTTTTTTATCTAAGCTGATTTTCTGGATTTTAAACAAAATAGATACTGAAATTACCTTAACTATCTTTAAATTTCAAATTTCTACTCTTTTTCTATTAAGAGGAATCTATTCTCCTATTCTTTACTTGATTTTTATTTCTCCAGCGATATAAATGTATTTTGTTTACACATTTTATGCGAAATTCTAAGACACAATTGCAATATTGTGTCTTAAATATTGTAATATTGAAAAATACGTATTTTTATTTCTAATTATACAGGGTAGCTCAAAGTATTTCGATTATATATTTTAATAGAGATAATATAGATTGGATCAGTTACGATTGTGGTAAATAATTTAAAAGTATCCGAATGCCGAAAAAAGTATCCGGTATCCGGATACTTACAAATTTGGTCACGGATACGGATACAGGATACAAAATTTGAAAAATATCCGGATACAGCTTTCGGATACACATAAAATATCCGGATACTGTATCCGGATACAGAAGTATCCGGATATTACCCAACTCTGGGATCAATTAAAAAAAAAATTGCCACAAAATTGTACTTATCAAATTTCAGTAATTGAGAAATCTTTTTGAATTTGGTCATACATACCTAATTTGTATTAATTATAGATAAAATTAAATAATTTATCAATTAAAACATGCAAGACTTATTTAGAAATAAATACAGCAGTATGTTCTGTGCTTTATTTAGCTGTAAAAAAAGTTTATTTTTATTATTTTGACAAAATTATGTATAATTCCCATAAGAAGCCATATATTTTGAACAACGTATGCAGTACCAGCGCCCATGCGGTTAATTATAGAAGCTCAATTAGCAAGCGTTTTTTGAGACCGTATTTTGAGTATGCCGATTCGTCTCCTTATCTTCAGTCTTCTTAGTCACAACTATGAAGACTAGAGATAAGGAGGCGAATCGGCCTTGGTCAAATTTCAAATTTCAGTCCCTATTTTTATGGAGTTCCAAAAAACTACTGTAGTTGGCGAGTGGCAAAATAACGACGTCTATTTTCTATGCAAGTCAATGGGAATTAAAGTGATTTTTGTAAAATTTAGTGTAAAGAATAAAAATAAGCTGAAATAAAGACCTGACTACAAGTAACAATGAGTAACAAAAAACGGCCAAGCAGGATTTGCTTAGTTCCGGGTTAAAAAACGGGATATAAATCCGATATAAAATTAAAGAAAACACAAGGAGATAAAAATTCAAGTCTTTTTAAAGCTCCTAGTGTAATAGACCAGAGCATACTGGCGCATTCGTTTGCAAAATTGTTTTAATTCGTAATTTTTTTTTTAAATGTCCGGAAGGCTTTCCTGATTATAAAAGTGTAAGATGACACTCGATATTTGTTTATGTTATTGTTTAAACAACGAAAAATTAATTAAGCCAGAAAAAATGCATTTTTTGCAATGAATTAATTTTTTTTTATATTCTTTAGGATATTTCGAATAAAAAAAGTCCTTACACCCATCATCGTATCTTCAACCCTTTAATTGTTATGAATTTTTTAAAATCCAAAATTGACGAAAATTCTAATTTTCTTGAATTAAATAATATACCTTAAAATTTAAAATGCTATAATTTTAAATTTTTTACCGAATATTTAAACTATAATAAACAAAATAACCTAAATAAATTTTTAAAATTTTGTTTGTTATATTTTTTTACGTTATAACAATATGCTTCCTACGCGCCACGATGCCACGAAAAAGATTGTTCACTAGTATTTTCATTAAACAATAAACTAAATCGCACAGACACGTTATCGTTTCGACGAAGAGTTGCATTTTTTAATTTTAAATATGTATCAGGTTTCGGACACTTCACTAACGCCTCGCCATTATCACAAAATAAACACTTTTTGTCGTTAGATAATTTAATTTTTTTTTGGACTTAAAGAGAACGACATTATTACTCAGAAAATTACACGACTGCAAAGTAAACTAGTAGATGTAGAATGGAGCAAGACTGATTAACAACTGAAAAATAATTTTCAAAACGAGCCAAAAATTCTAAGGTAGGGTTGAATTTTCTATTTGGAAGGTTGTAAAAATTGTTCATGACAGGAAAAAAAAAATAGAAGAAGAGTTAAACGTACATTTTTTTCAAAACACGAAATAAGTCCCTTTA